ACATCTTATGCACTTCTGCATTTGAACAGAACGGTGACTAGAACATGTGATAACAGCATTAACAGCAATCATAGGCTACAGTGCTTCGATGGATGGATAACTCTAGAATATCCTGCACTTAAACAACTAACTCAAAAGAAAGAAAGGAATAAAAAAGAAAATGCCTGGTTTATTCTTTTTTATTCAGATGAATGTTTTCAATGGTGATTGAAATTTAATTGCACTATTCATAATATATTTATACTGGGCAATTTATAACATATGCCTACATGATTATTCTATTTTTCTGAAATAAAATGCACAGGGTTACGGTAAAAAATACAACTTTCACATGTATCTGACTGACAGATAAACTGTATGCTGTTATTTCAGTGTTGCTGCTAATGTAATTATTTTATCAAATAATTTTCTACATACATTCAGTTCAATTAAATCAGTCAGAGCTTCAATGCTGAACTTATGCACCCTGGAGCAACAAATAATGATTTAAATGAGCATTAAACAGATGTGAACATGAACACTCACCTGATACAGTCAGTGTAACAGCAGCACTGATGTCTGATCTCTGTGAGTCTGATCTCTCTCCTCTACAGCTGTATTCACCACTGTAAGACTCATCAGATGTGAAACTGAACTCTGCTGTTGTTGGATATGGATATGGATAGAAAGTGTATCCATCTTTAAACCAGCTGTATGTCCACTGAATGTTTCCTGCTCTCTGTATGTCACATGTGAGAGTGACTGTCTCTCCTCTGAACACACGCTGATCTGGAGTCACCTTCACTACAGGTTTTGGTCTCGCTGTATTAATACACATATGAGTAGATATTGATCGTCTACAGTATCATTGTATCAATCACTGTTATGAACTCAAAACCTCCTTGTGAGAACAACACTGCATTGTGGGCAAATAAACATCAAAGAACTACAAAACAATTCACATTTGTTAAATTTACTGCACAGTACCTTGAGTGAGTCCAGCGTGGAAGAAGGACATCAGCACTAAAAGCAGAAGAAACAAGGATATGATGGATTTTCGTTCATTCAACAAAATGCAAATCACCGAAACTTGTCTATTTTAGTTTATTTTACATGAACTGAAAGTGTCTTTCTGTGTTTGAATAAGCAACATCAACATCACGCACACAATGAGGTCACAGGACTGGTGAACTGATACGAGAGTCGATTCACTGATGGATTCACTGCTGCCCAGAGAAGCACTTTCAACCACTGAGATTCACAACATTCAACACATGACCATATTCTCATCAACCAATGTGATGCCAGTTTCTGTAGTGCTGTCTGTTTAGCTTTTCAATGCTCGTTTTGTTTTTATATTTGTTTTGCTGTCTTTGTATTTTTGTTTTTCTGTTTGTGTAACTATACACGTCCCAAATTAATATTGTATTGTTTCCTCTGTTTGCTTCACCTGTTTATTTGCTCATTTTTCGTAAAACATGAAAGATGCTATTGAAATATATCAAATGTAGAATCGTGCAATTTTCATGCCAGTAACTATAGACAGGTTTGGATGGTAAGTGTTTCTCATGTGGATGTCTGTAAAAATAAATTTACACAACACCTTGTGTTAAAACTCATGGATTCGGATGGCGATTTATTCACAGATGTGAAGCGAGTTCTGTGATCCTACGAACCCAGGAACGCGCTGCTCATGTGGCTAGTCACATGATTGTCTTCTGTAAATAAAATTAATTTATTTACCAAAAGCATATTTTAGAATATATATAATCCTAGTTATTATTTGATTATTTAAATCATCTGTTAAAAAAATAGGAAAATAGACACAATATATAGTTCAGTCATGAAACTCTAGATGGCGCAGGCGATGGGTTGTTAACGTAACCGATGATATTCAGAGAGTTAATCGACTTGGCACAAGCTGATTGGTTCATGCTGCGGCCAGTGAGCTTACTGCCTTGCATTTATATGGCTGGCTAGCATTCACTTGAGATACCCTCCACCTTCCCCAGCTCCACCTGTATAGATCTGCTACGGGTTATTTTATATGCTATTTGTTTAGCAGCAGTATGTCTTAAATACTCACGGCACCGTATCGCCATATGCATTGGCAGTAGCAAGTTCCTGTTCTTGCTTGCAGCAGCAGCAGCAATAATCTACAACTACAGCAATAACCAACAGCAGCAGCAATTCAGCAGCAGCAGCATAGCAGATCTATTCCGCCAAGACCAAATACATTAACATTGTCATATCCATCACCATGCTAAAATTTTCTGAGAGTTGTCATGATTGAACTATAGTTGTATATAATTATACGCAATGTACTGTATATAACTGTATATAATACACATTTTAAAACTGTATTGCATACCTGCTGCTGCCATTATAAAGACCCATTTTGAATGTTTACGTGATTTTCTTCTCTTTCTGCTCCCACTCGCTATGGTGGAGCCAGGGCCGTCCTTTGGGTGGTGCAACTGGTGTGGCCCCACGCTTTGAGGAAGCAGTTATAAAATGTTGTTCTTGTAAATACTTTTTAATAAATATGCATGGAAATTACAGCGAAGTACAACAATTACCATACGGTGTTCGTCAGTGGTCAAAAATGATTTAAACACTTAATTTTAAATCTTGTAAACTCAGAGATGTGGATTCAGACGGCAATTCAATTACAACACGACCCTGGTGTTTGTCAAAAACATTAGGTAATTCGGCCAAGGATTTTTACGCCGGTGGTAAAGGGGAAAAACCCTGACATTCTGGATTCGGACAGCAATAAAATCACCGACTACCCCTTGTAAATGGTGAAAATAACTTGCGTCCCCATGAGAAACAAGTACTGTCCGAATACGGCTCATGACATAATTATATCACATTACACAAAAAGTCACTTTTGTATTAAGACACTTGTGAACACGTTACATGCAGCAATGTGGTTAACCTTTCTCACCACCGGGTTATTCACTCGAACAAAACAAGCTACAAAACTCTTAAACAAATGAGGTCAAAGTGTTTGAGATGCACTCAGCCTCACTTCCTGTTTGACGTTGGTACCATCAACATATTTGTGACTTTACAGTAGCCCCAAAAATATGTTCTCACATAAAGTATATTTTAAATGAACCAAACTCAGTGCAGTTAAAGTGAACCAGAAAAGAAAACTGCTGTAGGTGACCTCAGTGCTTTCAGTGTTCACAATGCAAACAGGCTGATACAACATATTCATATTTGCAGTATATCAAAACAAGTGGCCTTTATTTTAATGAAATATAGCACAAGCATCAATAAAAAAAACATTTCACAAAATAAAACATGATAATAAATATTTTGTATAATAATTATATTTTTCAAACTGGAGTCCAGAGACTTTCTGATAGTCAAGCATTAGTGGAACATGTTTATGCTAATTTCTAAAGGTCTATAAACCTGAGTAGAACTTGACTTCAAACATCTACTAAAAATGATGTTGAAACAACCTGGTAATAAATGAGTGAAAAAGTGTCTCAGAAAACAGAAGTTAGTTCTAAAAAAGCTTGAGCATCATTTGCTGGCACTTGGTTGGACATGTTGTGTCTAATGCAATGGAATTCATACATTTTTAAAGGGATAGTTCACCCAAAAAATGAAAATTCTGTCATTAATTACTCATCCTCATGTTGTTCTAAACCAGACCTTAAACCTTCGTTCATCTTCGGAACACAAATTAAGATATTTTTGTTGAAATCCAAGAGCCGAGACCCTTCATAGACAGCAACGTAACTACCACGTTCAAGGCCCAGAAATGTTTATGTGTATGAATACTGTTTTATGTAGCTACAATGTGCAACTTCTTCTGCTCGTAAAGAAGGTGCAGCTCATGCAGGTTCTACATCAGAACGCCGGCTCCTGCTTTAGAAGCATCACACGCATGCGTTGTGGTACTCTCATGAATGTGCATTAAAGACTGACACAGAAGAGAAGAAATGGTTAAATAAAGTTATTTTAATTTTCTTTGCACAAAAAAGTATCCTCATAGCTTCATAAAATGACGGTTGACTATTTTAATGATGCCCTTACTACATTTCTAGGCCTTGAATGTTTCAGTTCCCTTGCTGTCTATTGAGGGACAGAAAGCTCTCGGATTTAATCAAAAATATCTTAATTTGTGTTCCGAAGATGAACGAAGGCCTTATGGGTTTGGAACGACATGAGGGTGAGTAATTAATCACAGAATTTTCATTTTTGGGTGAACTATCCCTTTAAGTGGCATGCGTTGTGGTACTCTCATGAATGTGTATTAAAGACTGACACAGAAGAGAAGAAATGGTTAAATAAAGTTATTTTCATTTTCTTTGCACAAAAAAGTATCCTCATAGCTTCATAAAATGACGGTTGACTATTTTAATGATGCCCTTACTACATTTCTAGGCCTTGAATGTTTCAGTTCCCTTGCTGTCTATTGAGGGACAGAAAGCTCTCGGATTTAATCAAAAATATCTTAATTTGTGTTCCGAAGATGAACGAAGGCCTTATGGGTTTGGAACGACATGAGGGTGAGTAATTAATCACAGAATTTTCATTTTTGGGTGAACTATCCCTTTAAGTGTGACTTAGCTGTCCAAATACTTTAACATATACTTTAACTTGTCATCACATTGAATCTGAACAATAAAGAATACAATTTGCAGTTGGCGCTGATAGCCTTGTGGGCAGTGTGCCAACATACAGCGCCATTATTGTGCTAATCCCGACACGAGGACCTTTTCCGATCCACCCCCCCCACACACACACACTTCTCTTCCTCTCAATTATTCCCATCACAAACCCTCCAACACACAGCGCAACCTGTTGAAATTTATCTTCAACTGAATACAACATATCAGAAACAGAAAACAGAAGAAAGTGTAGAAGGCAGCTAAACTCAGTTCCTGGAGTTCTGCAGCTCTGCAACTGAGTTTTGCACCCCAGGTATAGAATGTATTAAAATACTTACAGAGAATGACAGGCAGCGCACTGGACCCCATACTGACACATTAATAAAAATAACTGCTGTCCGGTGTCATCTAAAACAGACACTTCCTGTTTAAACCGTCATTTCACACTTCAAGAAGAGATGAGGGAGGAGACGAATTTTACAGAAATAAACGAAGAAATAGGAAGAAAAAGAGATTCATTCTAAGATATTTAGCTTCTTTTCTTAGTGCATGCAAGTTGTTGGAGATCTGTTTCTCTACTTGAAAAGAAGTTCTTTCAGAATTGTTCTGAAACTTATTTTGTTCATTCACACCCACAGCTGCACACATTAAGATTGTAGGCCTTTACATGTAATGTGAGTTATGCTTTCAGCTGTACTTTGCAGCTGAAGTGCAGTTCATTCTGGTGAGATTGTGAGGAGCTCTCTGGTCTCGGTGTGTCGTCCAAAAGCCTTGCCTTCAACATAGACGACAGTAGGCAGCTGCAGTCAAGACGAGTGGAAAAGAGCTGCAGAGAACGAAGCAGAAGTAAAACCAACAACTATTAGCTCAACGCCACCACTCGCTTAACACTTTTGTTAGGCCTCTTAAAGGCCAGACTGAAACCTGACATTTCACCCAAATTTTAAAAATTCTGTCATTAATTACTCATTCTCATGTCGTTCTAAACCCATAAGACCTTCGTTCATCTTCGGAACACAAATGAAGATATTCTTGATGAAATCCGAGAGCTTTCTGACCCTCCAAAGACAGCAAGGGAACTGAAACGTTCAAGGCTCAGAAATGTAGTAAGGACATCGTTAAAAGTGATTCAGCCGTAATTTTATAAAGCTACAAGAACACTTTTGGTTTACGAGCAGAGTAATGCAAGTCAAGAACTGACATGGAAGAGAAGAATTGTTGGGTAATGTCATTATTTTTGTTTTCTTTGCGTACAAAAAGTGTTCTCATAGCTTCTCATAGCTTGACAGCAGGTATACAGCGAAACGGAAGAGAGATAAAACTCCTCACACTAGTGCAAGAGCAGAAGCGTTTCATCACCCAGCACAGCACTTCCTGAGAATATGAAGTGAAGCATTTAGTGACGTGTTGATGCAGATGAGTATATTGCTGACCTACAGAAAAATAATGACAATTCTGTGAGGTTTCAGTTCCTTTTGAAGCTCACAAACTGACACAATGTTCAGGCCATTTCACAATAGTCAGTGTTGCAATGTCAGCTTTAGAGGAAAAGGCAGATGGATCTGCTGGTGGATTTTTAATATAATTAGCAGAGTATAATTAACAAATATTTTTGTGAAGATGAGAGTAACACTGCAGGGCTCCAGACTATTCAGCTTTCACTCATGAAATCTGTTGCTGAAGTTTGAAATAAGAAATGTGTAATAAATATTAATAAAGTAAGATGCAGTGTTAAACTGTATAATGTGAATAATATCTTGCTCAAAACATCCTCAGGATGTTTCCGCTATCCTCCATCCTTTGTGGAGCAATTAATGGACCCTTTTCACATTTCCAGAATTGAAAAGTGGAAGTTAACTATAACAGGATTTGTACATGAGAGACCTCAAATATAATTTTTGTGTTCCCACAAAATCTTTGGACTTCGCGATGTAGCTAACATTTTATTTCAGTTCTAAAAGACTAAAAATGTAAGTAAATCAGACATCTGCCCTCTGCTGGCTGCTTATAGACCCTGAGGATTGCTTTGTATGTTTGTGATAACATCCATACTCACAATAGTGATGTCTGTTTTGTAATTATTTTCTTTATTAATTTTTTTAATGAAACAGAAAAAAGGAAGACAATTTTGAACACTGAGTCTATTTGTTTATTCATCACCATTAAATGCTAAGTTTGAAACAAAGCAGTTTCAGTTAATAGGGGGAGTGGATGCGCGAGGTAAAAGTAATAAATAATAAATAGGTCATAAAAAGTAATAAATAAGTAATAAAAATAAGGAATAAATAAGTAAAAAACTAATTAAGTGACAAAATAAAAAATAAGTAGTAAATAAAATAAGTGATAAACAAATAAGAAAATAAAAAATAAGTAATACATACAAAATAAATAATACAAACAAGTAATCAATAAAAAATGAGCCATAAAAATAATAATGAATAAAAATAAGCAAAGTAATAAATAAATAAGCAATTTATTATTAATTTATTACATCTACATTACCATTTATGCATTTGACAAATATTTGTATCTAAATTGACTTGTATTGCATTTAAGGAACACTTTTAAAATAAAACATTATAATATTATTGGCATCTGTGGTTCCATGATGAACCTTTAACATCCACTGAACCTTTCCATTGCACAAAAGTTTCTTTTGTCATGAGTGTCTGCTGTGCAGGAGTTGAGGAACTCGGAGACGAAGGAGATTCAGGATAACAGTCTATAATCATCCAAATAGGGGTAACACAGGGCAGGCAGGAACACACACCCCAGCAAACACGTTAATGTGGGGCCCAAACGGGTTTCACATGGGCTACAGGGGTACAGAGTGGGCATGGGCATAAACAGAGCACATAGTATAGACGACACCGGACAAAGGAACAAAAGAACGGACAACACTTAAAGGCACAATATGTAATTTTCGCCGCTGGAGTGCGCGCATTCAAAATAAACAAAGAGGCAAAGGCGTAGTTTCATGACGCCGTGACTGAGTGTGGAATCATGGGAGTTGTCATCTTCATCCCCACAGCCG